GGGGCTGCCCGCGGCTGACGGGGCCTCTCCCCTCTCCTCTCGCTTGCAGAAACGCGCTGATGTTCAATAACGAGCTTATGGCTGACGTTCACTTCGTCGTGGGCCCGCCGGGGGCATCCAAGAAAGTTCCTGCCCATAAGGTTCGTGCAGATAATTTTTGGCTTTTTAATGCTGCTGTGCACATCGCCTCCTCCCCCTGCCTGACAACTAGGTTCCATTTTTTTTTTTCTAATTACAGCTCTCATCTAATCCCAGAAGTAATTCACATACGCTGCAATTAAAGGGAACAGTCTCAGGCAGTCTTCTGCCTCCGCTGCAGCTTTTAACTTTCCCTGAGTGTAGCTCTTATCAAAAGCCAGCACGCTCGGCTGTTACCCATACGTATTGCTGAGGCTTCTCTCTCTTTATTTTCCAGTATGTTTTGGCAGTCGGTAGCTCCGTGTTCTATGCTATGTTTTATGGCGATCTCGCAGAGGTCAAATCTGAAATCCATATACCAGATGTGGAACCTGCAGCCTTTCTAATCCTATTAAAGTAAGTGGCCACTACAAGTCTACTAATTACGTGGACAGAATCAAAGTAGCTTATAAAATACACATCTCCTAATTGGCACTGTGCAATATGCACTTATTACTGTTCACTTAATGTGCTGACAAATACTGAATGTCAGATTCTCTGCCAGCAAAGATGACTGGATCTATGTTTCATGGCCTGTATTTTTTTTCCCTAAGAAACTATTTTTTTTTTTCCCCATCTAGATACATGTATAGTGATGAAATAGACCTGGAAGCTGACACGGTTCTGGCTACGCTGTACGCTGCCAAGAAGTACATCGTGCCGGCCCTAGCAAAGGCTTGCGTCAATTTTTTGGAGACCAGTTTAGAAGCGAAGAACGCCTGTGTCCTGCTGTCTCAGAGCAGGCTCTTCGAGGAGCCAGAGCTGACGCAGCGCTGCTGGGAAGTGATTGATGCTCAAGCAGAAATGGCACTGAAGTCAGAGGGTTTCTGTGAGATAGATCAACAAACACTAGAGATCATTGTAACCCGGGAGGCGCTCAACACCAAGGAAGTGGTCGTTTTTGAGGCTGTTCTCAACTGGGCAGAGGCTGAATGCAAAAGGCAAGGGCTGCCGGTGACGCCACGCAACAAGAGGAATGTATTGGGAAAAGCTTTGTACTTGGTGCGGATTCCGACCATGACTTTGGAAGAGTTTGCCAACGGAGCTGCCCAGTCCGACATCCTCACCCTCGAGGAAACTCACAACATCTTCCTATGGTACACGGCCGCCAATAAACCCAAACTAGAGTTTCCGCTGACAAAAAGAAAAGGACTCGTCCCTCAGCGATGCCACCGGTTTCAGTCGTCTGCTTACCGCAGCAATCAGTGGCGGTACCGAGGGCGGTGTGACAGTATTCAGTTTGCTGTAGACAAACGGATATTTATAGCAGGACTGGGATTGTATGGGTCGAGCTGCGGCAAAGCTGAATACAGCGTCAAAATCGAACTGAAACGCTTAGGAGTTGTTCTTGCTCAAAACCTGACAAAGTTTACCTCCGACGGCTCCAGTAACACTTTCTCTGTGTGGTTTGAACACCCTGTGCAGGTTGAGCAAGACACATTTTACAACGTAAGTGCTATTCTGGATGGTAACGAACTCAGTTACTTTGGGCAGGAGGGAATGACTGAGGTGCAGTGCGGGAAAGTGACATTCCAGTTCCAGTGCTCCTCGGACAGTACTAACGGAACCGGAGTACAAGGAGGACAGATACCTGAGCTCATTTTCTATGCATGATGCGTTTCACCTTGATTGTATTCCAGTACTGCCGTGATGCACATTAAGGGATTTTTCAGTTTGACTACAAACTCCGCAGCAGTGTGGAATGTTACGCTACTTACCTATCTGCTACATCAGGCTATACAAATAAGTGAAGGAATGCTCTTGAATTTAATCTTATTTTATTTATTCATAAGCTATTTGACTTAATTATTAAGACTGCAACAAGCAGAAAAATGTTAAATTTTGCACGTACTGTGCATTTATTTTGTATATAGATAACTAACTTGCAGACTGCAGCTGACTTAAACAGAATGTTCTAAACTAGAGCAGTTTATGAATCTGTGAAATATAAAATGTTTCTACTTGGCCTAAATCCTCTGTACTTGATCACTGCTGATCTTACGGCTTGTGTCTGTTAATTCATCTACAGTGCAGGTAACAGGGACGATGATATTGGGGTCTGTCCCCTGCATGCATCCACACAGGGCATTTTAGCTATCACTGCAAATACAAAGGTTCCCTTACCCAGTAACTCGGCCTCTCCACCAGCACCATTTATTTTCCCTCCTGAGAAAGGGAGCTGGCATATGTAGAAGCTCAGGCTTTTTTGCGTGTTGCCTAAGCTGAAGATAGACAAGCCATGACTGTAATCAAAGCTGATCACAATCATCCTGTGGTTATATTTGAAAGCTCCTAATGCCCGTTCGCAGGCATCATCTGCGTTAACCTCCAGCACCCAGCAGCACTGACACTTGCACCTGTCACACTGACCCCACTGGAACGGCCAGAGTCGAGGCCTGCAGATGAAGCTTAATGCAGTGGCAGGCTTTATCACAGACCTAGCCCAGAGCTGCAGTACTGGCAGCCACGACCTAAATATACATCCCAGCCTCACCCTTGGGAGCAGATACGAGAGAAATACTTGCAGTATGGTCTTTAAGTTCACTCAAAATTACTTACTAGAAATAAGCCACCTTAAACAAGAGCTGCTGGATCTTTCCTTCCTCCTCTTATTTTTCTGAAAACATAGTCCCTGCCATCCACTATCAGCTGTCATTTTACAGCTAGTAGCCTTTTTCTCAGAGTGATAAAAGTAGGTGTTTTCCTCAAGTGTCTGGCAATCATTACAGATAAGGTAATTAGAAATACTGGGGTTTTTATAAATATCTCTTATCATCATGACCTTGGAAAGGATACTCAAAGAGCAGACTAAGCCAGCACTGTTTCCATGTATAACAAATACATTCAGTTCAGGAGGGTTTTCCATTTGCCATTTCCCAAGATGCACTAATTCTCACCTTGAACGTAAGCTGCAATACCAATTCTGCCTGTTGTCTCTTAAAAATAAGTAATGGAAAATAAGAAGGCAACTGAATTATTGAAAACAAGAACTTTTTGACCAGACATCAAGCTATGCTAAGGAAGGCAGCTCACCAGGATGGCTGAGAGCTGTGTGCTGCCTGGAGGCTGCTGTGATGATGCTAGATGCGAGCTGCTGGTGTTCCTGCTGCAGAGGAAGGCAGTTCTGTGCCCAGCTGAGTGCATCTGAAGGGGTGTGCGAGTGTGCTGTTCCTGAACACAAAGGCATCTGATTCTCTTGGCATAGATTAAGAAGAGTGGGAGTGAGAGCGGGTAAAGATACAGGAAGAAAATTCCTGCACAGAGGTGGGCAACAACAGTCATGAGACCTCTCTATAAACGCACTCTTTTAACTGGAATTGGCATTCATTCCCTTGGCTTGAAAGCTACAGCCTAAACAATAGCTTTTTTAGCCTTTTGACAGGTTAAAGCCCACCTTCCTATCACTGTGTTACAATTTCAGTGATGACTTACTAATTCAGAAGTTATTCACATGCCTGGAAAAAGTTCCTCCTCATTTTCCATCAAGCCACTTGAATTTCAAGCACTGAACACCTCAGCGACAGGGGATGGACAGATGATAGTAAATTTGGCAAATATTTCTCAGATGTTGCATCTCTGTGGAACTGTGACAGGCCTGCATGACCTTGTAGACACACAGATCTGTTCCACATCAGCCCATTGTCTTAACATTGCTTAAATTACTCTTGGGAAAAAAAAAGAAAACAGCATCTAGGTCCCAAAAAGCTCTTAAAGGAGAACAGGCTGTCATGGTCAGCAATGCTCTTCTGCCTCAATTGACTCCAGCTTCATTTTTAAGTTACCCCTTTGGCATTGAGCACACAATACTATGTACATATGCACACGTACGTCTGTATTCTTGTCAAGTAACCATGCAGAAAATATCCCCAAATACTCAAAAGTCAACTTGTAAAAAGTTACCTATGGCTGGAGCATTTATGCAGAGTTCTCTGGCCAACAGAAGGAAAGTTTTTCCCAGCACATAGACATTCACCTATAAGAAGACAAAAAACCCATCATTTAAATCTTAAACCACAAAGGCTTTTAATAGAACACTTATATGAAAGAGAAGAAAAACCCAACTTCTGAAATCTGGAACAACCTGCTTTAAAAAAATTCCATTGAAGTAATACAAGTGATATTCTTAGATACAGACTAATACCTGGTAGTTGTCAAAAGCTGCACAAATTAGCATTGTAAAGCAAAGCAAAGCACAACTTCATACTGGAACAAGTTTAAAAAGCTGTTCCTCGTGCTCTCCAGGGGGCTCAGCGTTGCTCCGCAGTGCTTGGCCGGTTCTCCAGTTGTCACCCTAACATCTTAAAGCGTTAAGTACACTTCAATATAACATCAGCATATATAAAATGGCATTTATCTCGTAACATTACAAAACCTGAGCAAATACAAGTCAGTGCAAATTTCAGCTCTGCATGATCATGTCAAGTGGGATAATAAAGTATTGCACAAGCACACCCCAAACCTTTCCACCAAAGTAAGGAGTGGTGCTACAAGCCCCAGGGGTTATTTGTCATTTCTTACTGTTTGGACGTTGGCCTGGATCACCCTACATTAAAAAATAAAATGAAAAAAGACAAATTTAGAAAACCCTTAAACCACGCCAGACCTGCTCATGAGCCAGGTCAGAGACCTGCCCCCCTGCCCTTCACTGCTGCACTCAGGAAGAGGTAAACCCAGGGGAGGAGCCACTTGGTCGTGCTCTGATTTGCAATTTATAGCACAGCCAACCACATTTGTCTTTTAAAAGTCTGAGGAAGTTTTCTTTCACTATCTTAAGATGTGTTTTTGTGGTCAGCAAGAAAGGCAGGATATACTTCAGTTCCCAACGAGCCCCAAACGTTCCCACGACGCT